AGGCCAGAAGAGGGTATCAGGTTCCTGGAGCGGGTGTTATAGGCACTTGTGAGCAGTTCAGTGTGGATGCTGTGAAGTGAACCCAGGTCATCTGTGAGAGCAGTGTGTCTGCTCAGCTGCTGCTCCAGTGCTCCCTGTCCTGTCCTCTCTTCGTGGAACTCTGTTCACCTTCCAAACCTCTAAACTGACCTCTTATTTACATATCATCCGTTTTCACTCTGAGGTTTGTTTGTTGCTTTTTAAAACAATGCCTCACTTAGTTCCAGGCTGGCCTGTCTGTAACTCCCTATAGAGCTGAAGCTGGCCTTGAACACCCTATCCCACTGCCTCCATCTCTAGAAAGCTAGATTTACAGGTATGCTCCACCTTGCTCCCCTCCCCCCTCTGTTCTGATGTCCCTACCATACCATAGTATTTTCCTCAATTTTACTCTCCATTAATTTGCTTAAAAGTTTAGTTTCTACTTAAACTCAACCTTCTGAGAATTCCTTGCATATTCACGTAAAAAGTGAAAGCCTTGGAGATGTAGGTCCATGTTCAGGGAGGGAGACCACGCTGACTTCACTGCTCAAGGCTCACCCATCCATGGAGAGCCCAGCACCTGACTGACCCACGGAGAAACACACGTGGCCACTTGGTATTCACTGGGCACCATTTTTGGTCCATGCTTCCTCCAGGCCTCCCTATGGGGCTGGCCAAAGCTTCCTCAGCCTTCAGCCCAGTTCCACGCCACTCAATCTGTTCCTGCTTCATCCCTTGCTCACCAAAGTTGCTTTCAGCATCTGTCCTGCTGCAGAACACAGCGGTGACCAGCCTACTCTTAACCCTCATGGACTCTGAGATCTGCTTTTACCTCTCTGAACTTACTTATACAGGGCTTTGGGCTTTGTTTTATACATTTTCTGATGCTGCCTTTTTCTTTTCTAATTGAGATAGGGACCCATGACTTTGGATTCTCCTGTCTCCATCTGCAAAGTGTGTGCACCACTGCACCTGCTTTATTCAGTGCTGGGGATGTCACACTAGGTAAGCACTCTACCAGTTAAGCTACGTCCCAGGCCCTCCTTTTATCTATTTTCTTTTTTTCTTACTTTCTAAACTCTGTGTATGTGTGGGTGTGCTCATGTGTGTGCAGGTGCCCGTGGAGGCTAACAGAGGGGTTGGTTCCCACCGAGCTGGAGTTACTCACAGTTGTGTGCTGGTGCTGGGAATGGAACTCAGGTCCTCTTCGAGAGCAGCAAGATGCGGGCTGGAGAGATAGCCCAGTGGTTTAGAGCTGCTTTGGTTTTACAGAGGAACAAGGTTTGACTTTCAGCACCTACTTGGTGGTTGATAACCCATAACTCCAGTTTCAGATGGCCTCTTCTGATCCCTGTATTCAGCACATACATGGTGCATATACATACATGCAAGTAAAATGTACATTCAAGTAAATGTAAGGGGCAGGGAAGAGCAGTAAGGACTCTTACCCACTAAGCCATCTCCCCAGCCCCACAGTTCACACGATTTTAAGCCCAGTTTCCAAAACTGCTTTGGGCCTCTGTGGTTAGTTTTACCTTCTCACTAAAAATAATTGTCTGACCAGGGTATGTGGACTGGGCACACAGTTAAAACTTAAGCCCCGGCCTTGTTCCTTCTGAGGAAATGCCAGTGTCCACACAGAGAAGGTCTCCTCCTACCCCTTTCCCCATGGAACAAACAGGAAGGTCCCAGGGGCCTGTGGTCTTGGGGCTGTCATCCATGCCTCTAATTTCTTCAGACCTTTTCTGAGAACCCAGTCATTGCAACATTGTCCCAGCACAAGAAAGAACCTCACTGTGGTGTGAGGCTTGTGGGCTGCATCTAGGTCAGCAAATTCAATTCTGAAGCACAGTTCCCAAATCCAGCGTCTTGCGCCTTGAGGGCTGACTGACTTCACCCTCTAAGGCAGGGACGCTTTTGAAGCTTAGGAAACAAGGCCCCTCTGTGGGTGATTAAGGCACAACACTGCCGGGCTAAACGACTGGGTGACACGTGTGTCTCAGCCCCAGGATAGTCCACTCTGCAGCAGGCCTCCAGGGTATATGAGGACAACAGTGTTCAAACCGTGCCTGGAGACATGTGCACATATTAGGGCAGGGGTTGGGCTGGGGCTATGTGGGTTTGTTGCTCAGGTGCTTATGACTTGAGTTTCTTTTCTGTCGTCCTCGGATGCCAACAGGAGCCTTCCTTCTTGGCTGTCTTTCATGATGTTTGTAAGAATGAATGGGTTATGATCGGCCACAGCCTTGGAGAAGGGAGAGCCAGAGAACCATGTTCCCACAGGGCCACCTACGAAAGCGCTTCCCTGTGTTCAGCTTTCCAGGCTACTTCTGGCTGCCAGGAGGGCGACACCTGTTCAAAGAATGGACATTTCTTACCATCCTTGACAGGCTGTGCTGTGGGCAGGCAATAAGCAGAATTTGATGTCTATCACACACAAATCCATGAAAGAGAAAGATGGAGAAGGAATAGTTACCTGTGCCCGTCTGCATAAGGACTATGAATGAGTACACATTCAGCATCATGGCGGGATTTGAGGAGTATACATATCACGCTGTATCTACCATATAGCAAAGTCAAATACTATTAGTATTCTCCTGATGACCCCTGACACTTGACTCTGTCTTTCTGAATCTCTCTCTCTCTTTTTTCTTTTTTCTTTTTGGTTTTTTCAAGACAGGGTTTCTCTGTATAGCCCTGGCTGTCCTGGAATTCACTCTGTAGACCAGGCTGGCCTCGAACTCAGAAATCCGCCTGCCTCTGCCTCCGCCTCCCAAGTGCTGGGATTAAAGGCGTGCACCACCACCGCCCTGCTGACTCTGTCTTTCTAAGACTCTCCTACGGTTCTTT